GGGCTCAATCTCTCACAGTATCACTTGGTGCAAGGGTGCAGTTAAAATACTTGACGGAGGACAAGCCTAGGTAAATCCGATAGTAGATATGAAGAGTGGATGATGGAGAATATATAATCCTGACCTAGTCGTGGAGTAGTATGGAACCACAAATAAGTACGAATGAGATATTTCTTGATACATCTAAAGAAAATTGGGACACTTTGAAAGAAACATATTCATCAGATAAAAATATCTCTTGTTATATTTAAGAAAACTTTTCAATTACAACAGGGTAATAAGAGTGCGAGTGAGTAGTATAGTACCCTCAAGGGAATGTGGGAAGAGCTGAATCAACAGCCTATATTTGGTGATGTAGAATACAAGAAGAGGCAACATAATGAATTTAGGGTTGCCAAATTTTTATATGGCCTTAATCATGAGTACCATTTGGAATGTGGACAGATCTTGGCAAGCAGTGAATGCCCATCTCTCACAAATGTTTACATGTGCATTCATCGTGTCAATATATCTGCTTCTTCCACTCTTAACTCAAATGTTAGTAATGGATCGGCCTTGAATACAGTTGTAGAGAGAAGTGATGAAGGTAGAGGTTGAGGACGTGATCATGATGCAAGAAGAGGCCGAGGTAGAGGTGATGTCGAGGAATTCACAATCGTACACATTGTGGTTGTACAAATCATACAGTTGATAAGTGCATAGTTACCGAGATCTCCAACTTTCGTAGGCGATCCCTTCTATGATCCTCTCGCTCCCAGAACGGATCTCTCAAGGATCTCGATTTTAAAATTTTGGGATCTCAAAACCCCACTGATAGGGATCCTGATTCCTGCTGTTAGGGATCTCAATATCAGCCTTAAAGACCAAGATAACAACCAAACTCATGATTTTCTTTGTTTGTAGCAAAACTAGCAACACAACTATTGCTTGTTTGCTATCAAAGAGTATACATAATCCTAGATTATCATACACTTGAAGGTTGATAACAAGATTCCCAAAGAGTTGGGATCAAGATCCCAAAACGTCAGCATCAAGATTCCCAACAGGTTGGAATCTCTATCCCTAACATGTGCATTGTACAGACAGAATTCCCAACCACAGGGATCTTCTAGCATTTCACGATCCCTCGCTCCCAATCCCAGTACCATTCCCACTCCTGCTCCTAAAACCTATGGATAAGTGTTGGGACAAGGTTGGTAAGACTGCTCTAGCAAACCAGCTCTTACACATATAAGAGTGATGACCTTTATCCGAATGGACCCCGTGATCGCCAACAACAGTCGGATTCTGCTGGTGACTCTGTTTTGCTTTCAAACGAAGAATATAATAAATTTATTAACAAGTACAGCAGTTGATGGTTCCCTCTTCCTCTTCTACTGCCACCCTTACCAATTCACGTACTCTTGTGCTTCTTGCCTCTAAGAAACCTTCTCCCTGAGTTATTCACTCAAGAGCCTCTAATCACATGATTGGTGAGTCCTCTATTTATGTATATCCAAATAAGTGTACTCCTAATTCCTCTGATACCCTGATTGATGGATTGTTGTCCAATGTGTCAGAGCAAGGTACAGTTATGCCTACTTCTCTTTCGTTGTCATCTCGACTATACGATCCAAATTTCCTTGTAAGTTTATTATCTACTAGCATATCAACCAAATCTCTTCATTATTATGTGAACTTTTATCCTTCTTCTTGTGTCTTTCAGAATCTAAAGACAGAGGACGATTGGTGGCGGGTATGAGTCAGGTGGCCTGTACTATTTGAATCATGACCTTATTAGTGGTGCTCTTCATTTTGTTGATTCTCCTTTCTAATTGCATTGTAGGCTGGGTCATCCTTCTCTCGTCATGTCAGTAAGGAAAGCATCATAGGGTGTCATTTCGTCCTAGAGTTGAAAAACGAAGACTTGCTCCATTTACAATGGTTTATCTAATATTAGGGGTCTAGTTAGAGTACAAAGTTTGTCTGGTCATAAGTATTTTGTATCTTTTGAGGATGACTATTCATGAATGGCATGGTTATATTTAATAAAAGAGAGATATGAGATTTTCTCCATTTTAAATTGTTTCATAAAGAGATCCAAACTTAATTTAATAAGAATGTGTATATTTTACGTTCTGATAATGCTAAAGAGTATCTTTCTTGACAATTTTAGAATTATTTTACTCAAAATGGGATTTTATATAAACTTCTTGTGTGCATACTCGTCAACAAAATAGGGTTGCTAAAAGGAAAAATCAACACTTACTTGAAGCAGCCCGTTCTTTTCTCATGAATATGCTCCAAATGTCTATTGGGGAGATGTCTAGCTGACCTCATGCTATTTAATTAATTGCATGCCTTTTCAGTCTTAAATGGAAAAACACCAAACTCAATTCTCTTTCCTAATACTCCACTATTTGTTCCTCATTGAGGGTTTGCGTGTGTTTGCTTTGTTCATATGTTAGGTACTGGTAATGATAAGGGCAGATCCCCGGGCTATCAAGTGTATTTTTCTCGAGTATGCACGTTTTCAAAAAGGTTATCATTGTTATCATCCCGGTTTACAAAATAAATTTATTTGTGTCAATGTAAGTATTTTTAAAGATACTTCTCATTTTTCAGAAGAGAGTCATCCGCTTGAAAGTTTTTTTATCCAGCTTTTAAAGAAGTCCCAAAGCCCTTTGCCTTCTATGATCCCTCTTCTTATTCTTGTTGATACTTCTTCTCAATCCCAGTTACATGACTCCAATTAATCTAGTACATCTATACGTCATGATGTTTCTTACAAGCAGCCCATAAAGGTTTACACCAGAAGAAAATGCAGGGTGGACATCCACACCAACTTAACTAGCCACTCAATCATCATCTTCGTCTATTGATTACTTCCTTGTGGTGATGATGTACCTATTGCAATCCGTAAAAGTATCAGGTCTTGTAGTCAACATCCGATTGCACATTTGGTTACCTTTACAAATTTGTCTCCATCATATCAAAAATTTGCTTTCGCCCTTTCATCTATTTCTATTCCTAAGACCTATTAAGAAGCACTTTCTCATGCTGGGTGGAGAAGAGAAATGGAAAAGGAGATGGATGCACTTCATTCAAACGATAAATGGGAACTTACTGAGTTACCAGTAGGAAAAATTGTTGGGTGTCGATGGGTTTATGTAGTAAAATATCAACCTAATGGCACTACAGAAAGACTAAAACCCAGACTTGGTAGCCAAGAAGTACACACAAACATTTGCCATTGACAACTCTGAAATATTTGCCTCTATTGCTAAACTTAATTCAGTTCGAGTGGTTATATATGTGGTTGCCAATAAGGGCCAGTCATTCTAGCAACTTGATGTCAAGAATGCTTTCTCCATGGTGATTCACTGGAACAAGGAGCAACCACCAGGGTTTGTTGCTCAAGAGGAGTCAGATAAAATGTGTAAGTTGAAGAAAGTAATTTATGGTTGAAAACAGTCCCCACGTGCATAGTTTAAAAAATTCAGTGAAACAGTTATAGCATATGGATATTGGCACAGTCATTCAGATCATTCAGTGTTTGTTTGGAAAAAGGACTCCAAAATAATTGTTTCTATATTGTAATATTGTTGTTATTAGCAAAGATCAAGAAAGAATCAGTCATGTGAAGACACATCTAAAACAATACATTCAAACGAAGGATTTAGGTCGGCTAAGGTATTTTCTTGAAATTGATGTGGCCAAATCAAAGCATGGCATTAGTTTGTCTCAAAGGATATATGTGACTGATTTGTTGATAGAAACTGGAACATTGAGTGCTAGACCAATGGATATGCCTATGGGTTCAAATACAAAATTATTGCTTGATCAGAGGGAGTTGTTTGAGGATCCAGGAAGGTACAAAAGACTGATAGCAGGCTGACTTTATTAATGGTGCGAATCTCTGCTTACAATCAATCTCCTAAACAAATATTGTAACAACTAGTTAAATAGCACCTAAGGGAATTAACATTCCAAACAAACGTGAAAGTCTCTACCGACTAATCACACCCTTAGATGCCATGCTAGATCTCTTACATTTCACCATGTTCCACCAAACCCACCCAACATACATTTCACCAAACCCACCCAACATATATTCGCAAAACCTAGCATCTACAACTATGCAGGAATTAACTTCATGCAGATCAAAAATTTCTAAGGACCCTTGCTTATGTCGTTGTGTTTATTTTAGGCAAGTACTTCTTTCTTTTGTTTTGTTTAGTGTTTCAAAAGTCAAACTCTCTCCAACTTTGTCAGAGCCAAAACATCGCCAACTTGCTAGATTTTTTCTACTTTGGAAAATCAAGTCTCTTAATTTGGAGAAGAATTGATGTCAACAGCGGAAATCAAACTGAGACCATCTAAATAGAGAAACACATACTACTACAAAACCCACAAGAATCTGGCATACATTTAACTTAGAAACTAAAAAATTCGGCAAAACACTAGTTTTTTGTTATGAAACATGGGAACCCCACAAGTACTGTTCCTCCCATTTTTCGAGCGTCCAAGGAGAGTCCAACTCCTTACAGACCTTGCATTCCCTGCCTTACATTAAGACGAAGCCGAGAATGATTTTGTTCTTCTTCTTTTTTTTCATGGTTCTCACACAAACTTCACCCAGCAATTCTCAAGCCATAGGGTTTTGGCATCGCACTTACTGTCCTCTCCTGCGAGGATTGCTTCCAATAATCAATTTATTACTGCATAGATCATGTTACTTGTCTTGCTTTCATTCCATGAATTACTTTAGGGAATCCTGAAAATTTGCAATGTTGAACTCATAATGCCTATAAATTATACCCATTAGCATGTTAGATTTTGGAATATAGGGCAAATCTATCCACTGTATTACTTATAGACATTTATGGGAATGCAATACGTACAAAGAACAAAAGATGCAAACATGAAAAGGGAGAAACAAATAACATATAATGCATATACAATGCAGAAGAAGAGTGAAAATTTTAAAATAAAAGCAGGTGAGCACGAAATTCACTCACTGCTCCAATATGGTGTTTGGCTGAAGAAGACAGGGCTGTTTCCTCAAGTCCAGTCCATGCTATAGGATCAATATCCAAGAACCTGTAAACCCCAAAGGAACCCCCACACTAAGAAAATGTGAGAGAAATGCCAATTCCAACATACAAAATTGCACCCGCGTTTGTTCGAAAAGAGAAGGAAGAAACAAACAAACAAACCGGAAAATGGGACGGACAAGGCCATAGTTTGGATGCGTCCAAAGCTGGGATAATTCCTCAGGCAAGACATGGAGATCATCATGATGATGATGGGATTCTTCTTCTTCATCGTTGTTGGGAGGGAAGCCTAAGGGTCGAGTCTGGTGAATCTGGGCTTGCCTCAGAGCTAAACCCATTAAGGCTCCTGCAGCATATCTCTGCGTCGAATTCAATTCAGAGGTCGTCATATGTGTTATTGTTCCTTCTGTGTCACCCCCTCTCTCTCTCTCAAGTCTCAAAATATCTCAATCTACCTAAATACAGGACTTTTCATCTGCCTCTCTATCTACAACACCTTGTTTTCATCTCAACTCCTCAAGTCAAATTTATGTCTCCGTCTCTCTCTCTCTACCAGTTTGAAATGCCCGACCCTAGGACCAGTTCCAAATGCCGGACCGCCGCATACTGCTCCTTCCCACGCGGAACTGAGCGAAAGAAGGTGGGGTAGTAAAACCCGGCTATTTCTGGTCCAGGACGGAATCGAGGCGAATCAAACCGGTGCTAATGGGTTTTAGATCGGTTCCGTTCAAAATCTGCTTTTATTTTTTATTTTTTATTTTTTATTTTTTTTACAATTTATTTTAGCTCATCTGATATTATTTTTTATCCCCTTTAAATTTCCATTCCATAAACTTTTACTTTAATTTTTATTTTCTTTTATTTTAAAAAATTATTTGGAACTGACCTGGACGATCTGAGAACGATTTAGATCACCGATCCAACCATCTAGATCAGGATGGGGTGTACAATCCATACAACAAATCAACTTTTTTAAGCGGTATGGGACAATGCAAGGAGGTTTCCATCAAACTTTGGTATAGGTGAAATTCGAGATATTAAAGTACATCATAATGTTAAAAAAAATTATGGATTTGGCTTTGTATGTTATCTCAAAAATTATAGATACCCGACCTTACTTCCTCGGCATTGTCTCCCCAAATATTCTGTAAATCACAAATTTAACCCCCAAGATTATTTGCTTTGGCAAATACCCACATAAGTTAAAACGTAAAATATTTTTATGATGAAAATGCCCCTCATTGAATGTATTTTTTCTCATAAAAAAAATCAAACAAGTTTAGCACAATTCGTGCTGGACTGGCTTTATTTGAAAATGTGTGAGTGTCTAGCATAATATTGTGTTGAAAACGAGTCTCGCACATTTTGTGCTAGAAGGATAAATAGTTTTTTAAAATGATGCCGATTTGGCATCATTTAATAAAACTAAGTGGGTAAGAGAAATATGTGATATCCCTTTTTGCCTTGGGGGTGGTAACATAATTAAATATTTTGAGGTTGGTTGTATGGTTTAGAAAGTATTTAGGGAGGCATACCATACTAAAAAAGTGGGGTCAAGAGAGTATTTATCATTTTCTTTAAATTATAAAGAAAAAGTATAAAATGAGGCCATTTACCTTTGATACATAATGGTTACAATATTGGATGTGAAATTGGGTAGCTATAATTATTGCATTGACCAAGCTTAACCTTCAAAATATTATATCGAACTTTGTGACAAATCCAAGCTATTAAATTTCATATCAAATGGTTTTAAGGAATTGTGACCACCTTGTATCAAAGGTACATGATCTCATTATATGCGATTTTTATTATAAAACCGTCGAGTTCTTGTACAAGGAGGTCACAATTATTCTAAGTTGTTGGATGTGAAAACACAATATTTAAAAAATTTTATTTTAGACTTTATACTCAATCAATGACAACTATTCAACTAATCAATTTTATATCTAATGGTCAATAATGATTGACACATTCTCATAGCAAAACAAATTGTCCTACTGCATATATCTCCATGAAATAATAAATTATGTTAAAAGCTATATGACCTGGATTATCTCATATGATAATATAGAGTTCGGTTCATATGAAAATAGTCGTAACAAGCTGTTTTAATATGAACACGTTTGGTTCGTGAAATCAAAAGAGTGAAAACTCGTACCATGTGAAAATATTATACCACCCAGGGGCCATTTTCGTGTGAAAACAAATATGCACCTCGCAAGGTGGGAGCAGGTTCCCGCCTCAAAATAAGGTTAAATAGGGGTTTTAAATGCGTTTAGAAAGGAAATAACTCCCCTCTGATTCGGGAAACACCCTAGCGGCTCCACCCTCGCTGCTCTCCTCTGTCGCACCCCTCCCTGCAACTCTTTCTCTCTCTGAAACCCCAATCGCTCGTGTTCTTCTGCAATTTCTTCGCACCACCAAGGAAGAGAAGTAGAGCTTTCTCTCTCTAACTTTTATTTTCTACCTGTGGAACGATAATGAGTTTTCCTAAGAGTACATGTTTTCTCTCTCTATGCAGTAATGCTTTCTTGTGTCATGACATTTATTGGCTTTTTGTCATGTTCTTTCTACCCCACTATTCCTGTTATGTGTTCGTTGTTCCTCATTTGAAATCTCTCTCTCTCTAGAAACCCATATGTTCTCTTCTCTGTATGTGATTGCCTTTTGTTTTAATCTTTTATCCAGAGTTTTATTTCAGTAGGTTTTGTTAGGTGCAATGTTAAGAGGGTCATCAATTTTGTATCTATTATATTATCTGCCAAATCATTAGATGAGATCATGAAAATATTGCATGTTACAGTTACATGAACTTTGGTTGGAGTGCTTGCAAAATCGATTTTTTCATTCAATGCTTTTCTTCTTAATTTTTTTGAGAGGGGGCGTGATTTTAGGTGCTCTGTGTTTTGGTTTATAATCTTTATAAGCGTTTTTAATTTTGGTATTTAATAGTATATTCTTCATGATTTTATTTTTTGTCTCCGTCATATCCTCTTCTTTTACGCGTCCTCGTCTCTTATGACCGTGGAAGCAGTTGATGCATTTGATGGGTCCGACAATAAGCAGTGCACAGGGGGCAGGGAAAGAGGAGTATCTGCACCAGGACTCTGCAATCGACTCGTCAGATGTTTATGAGAGCGATCGATTCATGGCCGGAATACTCGGGCGACAAGAGGTCTCCCGTCCCAACTCTTTGTGTTTTTGCTTATTCGCTTGCTTGGTTTCCTGTACACTTGAATCAAATTTGTGCTCTCCCTTCCAGAAAGCTGCCCTTCTTTACTTTCATTTTTCTCTTCCTATTTCTTTAGTTTCTGGATGGTTTATATTTAGAAATACTCCTTTCCTTTTTTGGATGTGCGTTAGTTGGGTTTCCATCCTCGCCATTCCAGGTTTTTTTTTTTTTTCCCTTTGAATTTATTTATTTTTAGTTGGTTTTTGAATGACCATATTATGCTATTTGTGTGGTTCTTTATTTTTTTTTCTTTTCCCGGAATTTATTGCTGTGGATTCTTGAACTTTCCTGGTTTCAGGTGGCAGAACCTTTCGATCAAATGGACTCTTTTTGTTGTTATTACGAGCAGGCATTTTATGACATTTTTCCTTCCAAACTCCCATTGTGACAGATCTTCTATGAATCCTCTGTTGCTGAGCTTATTGATGTGAGTATTAACTATTCCTCTTGTCATTTCTAGTCTCTGCATGCATGCTAGAAATTTTTTTTTCATATGGTTGACAAAACTGTTGATATCATTTTTAAACCTACTCCTTTCTCTTGCATGGAAGGCTGTTCGTGCAATCCTTCTTTTGCTTCTTCGAGATGGCAATGGGCCCTAAACATGCATTTTTGACGTGTGGTTGACTCCATAGAGAACTCTGGATTTTTGCAGCCATTCAGGTTGGCACTACTTCGATTGGCCAATCTTTTGGTTACACCTAGAAAAGCCAGAGAAGATCTAGGGCGGAGACCCCTGTTTTGTAGTCATTTAGGTCATGTGGATTACCATCATTGTCCTTGATGTGCTGTGATCCCTTTGAACATTGAATATTGATCATTGACCACAGCCTAATTGTAAATACTTTTGGCAGTTTGATTAATGGGATCATTATTGCCCGAGTCCATAGTCTATTTCATTTGAGATGAAGGAGTACCTGGATGAGTGCTGTTCCTTTATTTTGTTCATTGCATATGGTTTCACCGCTAATTAATGAGACCCTAATTTCCAGCATTGTATCACATCAATGTTCTTGGCCATGAAGTCTAGGTATCTTGCAAATTCTAAAAAAATTTATGTCATACTCATCGTCTATATGAGAATTATGGAGTTTCATTGCTATTTTCTTTATTTCTGTATGGATTTGTATCGCTGATTTCTTAGGGATTCCTGGAGTAGGCCGAGATGAATTATTGTTCTTGTTTTCACCCCACAAGAACTCAAATTCCAAACATTGAGGATGTTGGTTGAACACAAAATTTGTGCCCATTGGACACCTGTGATCAACAAAAACCAGTTGTGGCACATTAAGAACATTGAGTTATTGTTTATGCTTCTTCAGTAGTTGTTCATTTTGTGGAGCCTGTGGAAAGTGGCTAGGTGAGTTTGTTAATTTCATGGAGTATAATCTGTCAAAGATATAGTAGTTGTTAAGAATTTGAGGATTTTTAACTGTGCTCTTACCTAAGTGGAAGTTCATTTTTCGACCCTTTGGAATCTGTTTTTATGCTTGTCATTCCACAGATTATCAAAAAAATTTGCAATTCACCTGTTTTGATATCTATGGGAAAATGAAAGGAATACTACACGAAGAAAATAAAGGCCTATGAGCCAAAGATTTATGGTTGTTTAGTGTAGTTATTTTTTGAAAGGGATATAGGAATAAGGAATAACAATAAATTTTGAATCTGATACTCCACGACATGCTGACGGTTGCTGTTTCTTATTAGGTTATTTGTAGATGCAATCACATTATACTATGCTGTACCCCTTTATATACTCGCTGGAGCAGTGGCAGTAATGCTCTTATGGGACTCTCCAACGTTAGCTTGATTGATTAGGTTTTGACAATTGCAATCTTACATCCAAGGTTCAAGTCCCACGCTGACCTACCCAAAATGGAACTCTCTCTCTCTCTCTTCTTCTCTCCTCTCTCTCTTGCTTGCTCTCTCTTGCTCGCTCTCTCTCTCTCGCTCGCTGGCTTGCTTTCACTCTCTCTCTCTCTCTCTCTCGCTCTCTCTCTCTCTGAAAGTCTCACAAGCATGGACTGTGGTTCCCTGGCTGCCTTAAGCTCAACTTTTTATTTTTATATTTATTTTTTTGTGTATGAATCATTACTCTTTAAAATAGAAGGGAAAAGATGTATACCCCCTCTCTAAAATTATTATCCCACATACTCCCTTGTCCTATAAAAAGCCAAAAGAACCCTCCAAGTTTAACCAAAAAGGACATTTGACCCCCCCTCCTTTCCATTTTTATTGTCCAAATTACAAAATTTATCCTTCTTTTTTATAGTAACCTATCATCATAAAAATCAAGTTTGTGATGCTTTTTTGATGTATTTGTGACATTCACTAGATGTTATTCAGAGAAAGTTGCAAGAGAGAGAGGGAGGAAGGGGGCCACAAATGAGGAAGAAAAACCAAATAAGGGCTTTTCCAGGATTTTGATAATAGGTTGTAATTTAGACAATGGAAAAGGTTAGAAGGGTTCAAACGTCTTTTCCTGTTTAACTTGGGCTGTTCCATGGGATATTTATAGGACCAGGGGGTTATTTGGGATTATAACTTTAGAGAGGGGGGTTTATGTCTTTTTCCCAACATATAAAGGCAAAGAGCAAATGTTATTCAAAACACTAAACCTTTATGCCTATGGAGTTTAAGGACCCAATTGTTTGGGAATCCTACAATGTAAATTAATGTTGTATGAATTGGATGCCAAATATGTTACTACGATGTTTGGCATTGCATGATTACTTGTTTTGCGTAATGTTCACGAAACCTCAAATGATCTTAAAAATTCCAACCAATATGGCATGGCTTGTGAATACTGTATTACAATCAAATGAGACACGGCTATATTAGAAAATCAAGAATTATTCTCGAGGGAATGAGGTGTTATGAGTACGTAAGGTTCTCATTCTTTCATGGAATGATCTGGGATGATGTAGACATCATTGACCTTCCAATTGCAGATTAAATTTTTATTGGTTATGGAAATGAATCTATTGCACCTTGTTAAGTGATGAGTTTGAGACAAGAGTTTTAGACAATCAATAAAAGTTCCGGAGCCTGTAAGCATTGATTCTTCACTGCATTCTCCTTCCTTTCTAAGTGGTAGGAGTTAATACTGATTGTTGCACTATGCCCCAAGGAGAGGATTCATATCGTATAAAAAAAAAAAAACAAGCATAGAAAAGAATATAGGGCCTGTCTCTGCCTATACAACAAGTGTTGATTGGAGGCCTATTGATTACTGGAGGCTTTTTCTATTGTAGCCATGTTAGATACTCCTTCAAAGTTATTCAACATTTATATATCCTCAAGCTCGTTGTAAACGGTGCATACTTCATGGGGAATCAAACCATGTTCAAGCTTGGAGTCCATGAGGGTGGTTGGTTGGTGGGACATGACCCTTAGATTTGCCAAATACTCGCTTTCCAAAACATGGAAAAAGTTATAGTTGTCTTGGATGGAGAGGAGATTAACAATTTTTTTTTTTTCAAATGTTGCTTGATCAACTACTAGGTTACAAACCATAATGGAGTTTGCTCTACAACAAATCAGATACACCTATATTGCAACTGATCAGCCAAGTATATCCAAGCGATAGCTCCTGCACGTTGGAGTCCTTCCCCCCCTTTTTCAACAATCATTGTTCCTTTGACACTGTAAACATGGTCATTAATGATGCATGCCCATCCTTAAATTTGACATGATGGCTGCAATCCACCATCTCCTATGCTCAACTGCTAGCTGTCCTGGCCCAAAAAACAAACCCTTAGCGCCCAACACAAAAAAGAAAAAAAAGAAAAAAAAGGGAAAAACACACCAATACTCTAATGTCTTGCACTCACGACTGTTAGGATATAGTGCTCATCCACTCCTCGCCTCCATCTCATCATTGTCGGACGCCTTGCTTGCCCCAGCCTCTATGCCCACCCCCTCAATAGTGGTGGTAATTTAACCTTAGGTTTAATCTATTGCAAGCTCAATGCAACCATCCGAACCTTATAACTCCTCAGCTTATTCACCTACCCCCTATCCCTATCGTACTAGTTCCAACATGCACACCACCATGCATTCCCCATGATCTAAATGCCTTGCCGCGTAATCCTCGTGCATCAAATGGCCCTCCCTTTCCGCCAAATGAATGCGTCCTTTGAGGAAATACAAATGCCTCATGGGAAGTTGTGAAGATGACACGAACTCCATTGCCACCAAGAGCCAAGGTACTTTAGGTGTGCAGCTTGTAGGATCATAATTAAGAGTGGCATTCAATAACTTGGCATGTTGAAATCCCAACCCTAAACCCTTGGGTCAGTGTAATCATAGCCCCACGACCACATGGATGGATGAGAACTTTTCCATTTACTAACCCAAGATAACTCATCTAAGCAACTTCCCTTAAATTTGACTTTTGGGCCACCGTCTAATCCTTCCACTTCCTCCCACTACCCTTTGATCTTCTGTCCGAGCCATAGGTGGCATGGTCGACATGATCCTACCCTAACAGAACTAAGTAAATCAAGGCGAAGAGCTCGAACATTACCGTGCTCATCAACTCATTGAAAGCCAGGACAAAAGGAAAGCAAGAAAAAGAAAATAGAAGGAAGTTTTAGCTTGACTTCACTCATTCTTAGCTTAACGATTGAACTTGTTGTCTTAAACATTGGTGGGGCGCGAGAGAACACGTGAAAGAGAAAGATACTTGCATAGAGCAAGGAAGCGATTGAAGGTTGGGCATTTCTGAAGCTCAAAAGGTGTGCGCCGAAAGAGCGTTTAGTGAAATTGCTCTCTTTTTGCATTGCTCTTACTAAGCAAGCTACCTTGCATTCTAAATCTCAAAGCCTAGCTAAATGAAAAAAGCAACTCAGTGCGAAATGAGAGTGGAAAGAAGAGGCAAAGATGAGGGTAGGTAAGGTTCGTTGACTCGTTGAGCTGCTGCTGTGATTGAGAATACAAGGCTGCTTAGGTTATACTCGATGGAGCTAAGGTACGGAGAAGAAAGTAGCAACTACTTCTTATATTCTTGCTTCTCATTGAGCAACATGCTTACTATTTGCTTCTAATTTCTCTTACACCTCTCGTTTGATTTGCTAGCACAACTTTGAAAGTAGAAGACAACGAACAACTAAAAGGAGAAGCAAGGTATGAAGCTATAGCTACAGCTACAATGTAAGATACTTTTGCACCTTAGCTTTTTAATGTAAGAAAGTTTATAAAATCTTGCCTGGTGTGCTTAAGAGTACTTTTTTGCCTTGGCTTTGCTTAGAACACTTATGAGTGCTTTTACTCGCTACAGTGTTTTGATGTTCGTTACTTTGTTGCTTAACTTCAATAGTTTCCAGCTTTACGCTTCGCTCAGGTTAGCTTAGGGCAAGAAATATTTAATCCTTCATGCTGCTTATGCCTTTTGCTGACTTGGAGAGAGAGAGAGAGAGAGAGAGAGAGAGAGAGAGAGAGAGCTTAGTCCATGTCATGAGGGAGAAATGAGCTTGGTCCATGTCACAAGATAGAGAGAGAAGTTGATATTGGTCCATGTTAGAAGAGGGAGAGAGAGAGGAAATCAAAAAAGCCGATTTGTCCATCAGCTCCCTTTGACCTCTTGACTCCATATGGTTGGAAAGGTGTTTCAGAGTAAAGGAAATAAGAAAGGCCGTTGGTCACCTTGTCCAGGACAAAGCCCTTGTCTCTGATGGCTTCTCTCATCTTTCATAAATTTTGGACCTCGTCACCCTGGACATGCTTGAGTTCTTCAACATTCTATTTTATGGGTTAGATCCATAAAATTATAGACTCCACTTTTCTTAACATGATCCCCAAGCTCGAAGGTGCAGAAAAATTAAGAGACTTCAATCTCATTAGCCACTTAAACTCTACCTATAATCCTAGGTACTAGTCTGCTGTCCTTTGCAAGATCATCTCCAAGACCCAATCAGCCTTTGTGATAGATAGGTTGATCCTGGTTGGTGCCCTTCTTGCTTATGAGGTCAACTCTCACCAATCCCTCTCCCCTCCTGACACAGGGAAAGAGGGATCAGTGATAAAGTTGGATTGTGAGAAAGCATATGATTACGTTGACTGACCGTTCTTGACAAAATTCAGGCAAGGATGGACTTTTGCATCAGGAAGAGAAGTTGGATAGAAGGATGCATATCGAAGCCAAGTTACTCCATCATCATAAATGGCTCACAGGAAGGATACTTCGCGGCTTCTAGGGGTTTTCCCCACGGTGATTGAACTTCCATCTCATAATCATAGGGGAATTGTCTTTGAGATCCCTTTCCAGATTCCATGGGTTTACTACCTCAAGATATGGCCTAGAGATCTCTCATCTATTGTATGATGATGGCACCATCATCCCTTGTGATGCCTGCCCAGCACAGTTGGATAACCTCTGGTTATTCCTTAAGTCTTTTGTTATCTTCACAGTTTTGAAGGTCAACATGTCCTAGACAAAAATGTTGGGCTGTAGGACGAGGAAGGGCAGACCTCGGGCCATCACTTGGAACATGGGATTGAAACCCTACGTTCGAGATACCTAGGAGGCTAGGATTACTCATGTGCATAGGCAAATCCTGGAAGCATCCGTGGGACAGCCATAGAGAAATTTAATGTGAAGTGCGGACCTCAGGCCATCACGTGGAATGTGGGATTGAAATCGAAATACCGAGGACTACCCATGTGCATAGGCAAATCCTTGAAGCATTTGTGGGATGCAGCCATAGATAAATTTAATAGGAGGCTTGAAAACTGGAATGGAAGATTCCTCTCTATGGGGGGAGAATAACTCTCGTAAAAGCAATGCTAGCTTTATGACCTTGTTATAAGTCCCTTCTGCTTTGGTTGCTAAGCTTGAGACCCTTTTGAAGAATTTCCTTAGATCAAATAGTAGAGATGGAGACAAGTTCCACCTTGTTTCGTTGGACAGATTGTGTCGACCTGAAAAAGGAGGTTTCAGAATTAGGATAGAGAGACCAACTTCGCTCTATTAGGAAAATGGTTGTGGAAGTGTGTAGTAATTGTAACATAGTTGTGGAGGGAGGTCATAGGTGGCAAATGTGGTTTTGAAAATGGTGGCTTTTCCCTTGAATCCCATGTCATCATGCCTCAAGTGCTTGGTTAGTATATCCAAGGGCAAGCACCATTTATAAGAAAATGTCAGATTTAAGGTGGGGCGAAAGGAAATGGTGAGGTTTTAGAAAGACCTATGGCTGGGGAATGAGACCTTGGCAAATCGATGGCCCTCACTTTCTTTCGTTGTCGTTAAGAGTGATGCTCATGTTCTGGAATCAGCTGACATCAAGAGGCAGTTGCCTTGTTTGGAACCTTGTTTTTAGGAGAGCACTCTCGGAAGCTGAAAGTGCATACCTTTATCACCCTATTAGAGTTGCTTCATGATTTCTATGTAACTCTACAGGGAGAATACCATCTCTTGTGGCACCCTCACTTGATGGACTTTTCATAGTTACTATTTCTATTTACCATTTTCAATAGAATCTGGTCACCTCCACCTCCTCTTAAGGTTTAGGCTATCCTTGCCCATTGCATGGCTTTAACAGGTGACCAACTACAAAAGAGAGATCTTCATTTCGCAAATCGTTGTCATGTGTATGCTGGAAGAGGAGATATCTGACCATCTATTTCTCCATTGCCAGGCCATATCACCTCCATTGTTTGAACTCCAACTTTTTGGCGTCTTTTGGGTTAGTCTATGGACCATTCAACAACTTCTTGTTGCGTTCCTCTCTCTACCCTTGCCAAAAACTGGCCATCATCGTTGAACGGCCTGAGTTATTGCTTTGTTATGTGTGGCTTGGAACGAAAGAAAATGCACGGATTTTTTGAGCACCCTTACATGCCTCACACTCCCTTCTCCATGGCATCAAAGCTGTTACAATCTTTTGGTCTAAGAAATTGTCAATGTGCAACAACTTGAGCTCTTCCATTTTTTTCTCTGAATGGGAAAGAGACCTCTAGCCTTTGGATCCTTTAGGTTCCCCCACCCCAAATTGATGGCTGTTCCTGCAGAAACCCTGGCCCCTCAGGGTTTGGGAAAGCCTCTCAGGCCACAACTCTGATATCTTGTCCTTCTCAGGGTTAGTCGGCTGCATAAAGTCTTCCACACCATAAACTGTAGCTAGCCTAGAAGGTTTTAAACACACCTTTGGAGCCATCAACAGCACAGAACGCCTCATAGTGGAGCGAGATTCGAGTAACGTGATCTTATGGGCCACAAAAAAGGCTCAATCCTCTCCTTTGACCACATAGTTATGCTTTGGAGGGTAACCTAAGTTCAACCACATTCTAATGGAAGCAAACACTAGCGCTGATAGGTTGGTCAAGGACGGGGTTGCTGCAGGCTCAACATCCACCCACACATTTGCTTGAAAATCCTACCTCTGCTCTTCTCTCAACTCTTGTTCTCTCTATAGATCTTACTTGCTCTCTTCTCCTCAATGCTCACTCTCCTGCCTCACATCTCTCCACCCACTAACAACATGTTCCTATTGTTGGTTACTTGTAACGCGAATTGGATCTTGTGGTCGACCTCAATCTTATATTTGAAAAGGTTGTTATTATGTAGTTTCCCTTGGTGCTATGTCTCTCTCTCTCTCACACACACACACACACTCTTTCTCTCTCTCTAGATTTTATGTTGCAAGTTATAAGGTGAATTAGTTTTTGGGCCACTTCTTCATGTACATAAGGGGAAAAACCCTCATGTTCCTGTATTCTAGGAGTTCATTTTATTTTTGAACCAAGATTTGTAACTAATATAATATTGATTTCAATACTGTTGACTGTGTTCATTGTTCAGTTGTGTTTCTTTTTCGACAGATACCTTAGTGTTATGTTCCTAAGGTTTTTCTCAATGTAATGGAGAAGTGGATGGATGGACTACCTAATTTTGCATTTGATAAATTTTTCATTTGGGTATCGAACTGTTTTAACCTTGAGATGTTGGAAGAAGCCCCAAAGCCAATGTCAAACGCTCAGGTAATTTTGATTTCTGTTGTATATCCAACGTCATTTTATCCCAATTAAACAAGGAAAAACATATTATATTCCCAAACACTATGGTTTCATTATGGATTACCATTATTGTTGGGGCTCATAATTCAATTTATAATCCAATGAAATGATGCATGGTGATAGTACATGGTAGAGGTTGCATTGGTTCTCTTAGTACTTTTTAAGTGTATCAAAACATGGCTACTAGGGCTTTGGATTCTCCATTGTCACTTTTGCTAGATCTAGAGGGCCCCTAATCAGGGTAATGGACCTTGATTGATACTTGGCCAGGTGACCGCATGGACCTGGGTCGGACTTCTGTGAGTCATGGCTGAACTTTCTCTCTCCTTTCATTTACGCAGAAACAATGAATCATAAAATTGCCTTTGTCTTTTAGTTAACAAGGGGTGTTAAGCCCCGAACAATGTATAGAAAATTGACTCGGCAGGTTGCTCAGGCGAGTCCGAGTTAAAAAAAACAAAAATAAAGACAAAAATTTAATATATACAACGTAGTCTGCCATTTTCTTACAACAAATATCAAAGAGCATACTGGTTAGGTTGCTTGATGTTGGAATGCGCTTTTATGAAAGGTGTTGGGTTCGATTCACGTGATTGCAGTGTTTTGTTACTCATTTTTCTTAACTCTTAAAAAGAAAAAAAAATGTGTCACATGGGTTCACAAGACGATGTTCGTTTTTGGTTGGGGGCAAGGGTAATGCCCACCATGATGGGAAGTGCGTGTGTATACCACCCTGATCGCCATTTACACATCTTTTGTTGTAAATTGACGATTTGAGATATATGACATGTAAAGAATGGTGTACGGTGCACTCCGGCAAAACCCACCTAGCCCATGGGGCGAGGTTGAGTAACTCGGCCAAGTCGGACTTGGCGGAGTCCCAGTACATTGGCCTCGAAAATACAAGACCAGGGCAGCTTTTCAACTGACAAATTTGTTTAACTAGATTTGTGAAAATTCTAATAAATAGTGTGGATTTGAGAGGAATCAAAATCCATATTTCAAGTTTGAAGAAGCTTTGACAAACGTCATATCATGTAGATCCGATGCCTAGACCCAAATATGCATTAGTGTTTGATCTTGTGGGCTTTGAGGGTCGATGTTCAACTAACAATCTACTTTGTGGTGTTTATGGTTCATGAATTTCATTTTCCCTTTTCGTTGAGTTTTTTTACTATAAACTGTCGGTTTAGTTTCAATTTCTTCAAAGCTGAAGATGGAGGGAAGATGTAAACGAAATTATTAAATCGGAAAATAAAAAAAATAATGAAGTGATGAGAGAATATACCCTCTCTCAGGGTCTGCACGGGAATCCACCACAAAGATCTCTTCACAAGATCCAAAAAAAAAAAGTTTGTTTCTCCTCAATTAACCCAATTCTCAAAAAGGGACCTTTTTTCCTTTAAATACACACTAAAAAGAAACAATACAAATTAAATAAAAAGCCCATAAAACAACTCTCTCTCCTTCTCTCCTATGTTTTTCTCTCTTCAACCTCATGTAAATTTCTCTTTCTTAAGCCTATGTGAGCCCCCTGAAAAATCCCTCTCTACCTCAATTAAATCCCACAAATGTAGATGATCTCTTTTAACTCCCCCTTATCTCCCTTGTAACCACCAATATCTATCTTCCTATTTTAAAATAAATTTGACGTTTCAATTGTACCCTTGAAATGTCCACAACCACATAGACAAAAATAACCCTAAACCTTAAAGAAAAAATATCTAAACGTAGCAAAATTCATAATACTAAAAAAATTCATTGCATCATTCTCCTAGGGTTGGGAGAATCTCGACGTTGAACTTCAAGATTTAGGCTCCTCTAATAGTCTTTCCAAGTGTTGGTGGTGTAGCCCAACCATTTGTCTAGGTACTTTTCCCTCTTCAGTAAAACAATTGATCAAACACTTGATATTTGGCCTGCAATAAGTATCTTGTATACCCGACTTAATCTTGATTTTTCCTTCCAGCTCAAGAGATTGTATTTCACATTCAGCAATTAACGTATCTTCTTCATAATTTTCAACATCTTTTGCACTGAGATTTACCTCTTCTTTTTCTTTTTTTTGTTGCAATCTATTGAATAGATTTTGCAGACCTTGTCGTATTACTTTATCAATACGCTCTATCAAGTTATGTTTGAGTCTTTCGAATTTTTGATCCAATCGCTCAAATATTTGATCTATACGTTGCATAAATAGATCAGTACTTGTTTGTGAAAGCTTTATGGTTTATAAATGTCAAGGCTCTAATACTATTGATGTAGGGAAGATGGTAAATAAATAATTAAATCAGAAAAATAAAAAATAATAACAATAATAAAATGATGAGAGAATATACCCTCTCCTAGGATCTTCAATGGAGTCCACCCAAAGATTTCTTCACAAAATGCAAAAAATAATTTCTTTGTTCTCAATTAAACCAATTCTCAAAAGGGGATCTTCCTCCCTTTAAATACAAACCAAAATGCAATGATAAAAATAAAATAAAAAACTCATAAAATAATTACTTTCTCTCTCTCTCACTCTTCACCCCCCTCCCCCAATCATGTTTTTCTCTCTTTAACCTCATGTAAATCTCTCTTTCTCAACCCATGTGAGCCCCCTTAAAAATCTCTCTCATTTATTATTTTTTTTGGAATCTATTGAATTTGAATTGGATGACAGAAAATACATGAACTAAACCCCATAAATATATAAGATTTCTGTTTACTCCCCCATATCACTCTTGTAACTACCAATACCTGTCTTTCTTTCTCTAAAATAAATCAAACTTTCCAATTCTATCCCTGAAGTCTCTACAACCATATAAGACAAAAATAACCTTAAACCTAAAAATCTAAAAATTGAAAAATAAATAAAGAACTCATTCCATCAAAAGTACACTTGGTCAACATCCATATGGGCTTCAATTTAATGATAAAAAATTATAATCTTCATTTGGACTAGATCTAGTTTTAGTTTTTGACCAATTGCCGAAATTTGTAAATTTCTTTTTTTTAGGACTTGTACTTTATTTTTGTTTATCATGTAAACCTCTTGTGTATAAAAGAGTAGCGTCATTTTTCTTTCTAGCATGATACTTTGTTTTCCCTGATTTATTATTAATTTATCATTAATTAATCGCGATTTTCATAGTTTCCTAACTTTTCGCTACTTTATTTTTATTTTTTTTCTCATTTTGGTTGTGTGAAATCGCTATATGGATTTTCTTTTCACATGCCTTTGCGCGACCTGAATCCTCACCCAAATGAGTTCAGTCTGGTTGCAAATAATGATTTATCTTCAAAAAAATGGGGGTTGAGTAGGTTTTTGGGCTTGAATGCTTTTTGGTTCTCTTTTTACTTGTCTTTATGTGTCTAGTGTCTTTAAGGATGCCAATCGCCTCCCAAGCAAGTTAGATTGTGTGCAAACAAGGATGTTTTTCAAGAAAAATTGAGAATAGGAATTTTTTGACATTATGGGCTTCATATTTTTTTGTTTACATGCTTGCTCTTTTTTTAGTGTTTTTTGGCATTAAAGGCTTCAAGTGGAAGCTCTTAAAGACTAAAAAGAAGGCTCAAAAGGATATGGATAAAAGTAGTGAGAAGAGATATGGTCTGACTGCCCCTGATAGGACGGAATTGCCAAACAAGATTTGTGTAGCCGATCCCAAATAGTTAGGATAAGGCTCAGATGATGATGATGATGATGGTGTTTGGTCATTTGCTGCTTTTAGGGGTGCCAATCTTCGCTCAAATGTGCTATTTTTTTGGCAATCGAAGCAATTAAAATGTTTTTAAGAAGACTTAATGATTTCATGTACAACCAATCGTTGGTCCTAAATTTCATGATATGGTGTACGTAGGGGAGGGAGCTGATTAGGCCAGCCATCACACAACTCACTAACTTGTTCTTGTCCATCCATTTGATGGTCGTAATCTAATGCTCGGAGCTGAAAAAAATGGTTGCTCAGAAGACTAGGTCAATGAGCTTATTTCAAGGACTCAGGTTGCAAGACAGGTTGTGGGAGATGATTAGTTGTAAGAGGTTTTAGGTAGGTGTCCTTAGAATTTTGCAGCTATAATTCCTAATGTGGCAGTTTTGAAGATGTACTAATATGAAGAGGGCTACGGGATTCTTGTATGAAGCAGTTGATCATGCAAAATAGGCCATCCAAGCCACATGTACATTCCATCAAAAGTATAGGAAGTAATTGAGGACCCCGATGGAATAGCTTGAAGCATCGACTTATACATGGCGTAAGTAAATCGTTTTGACATGTAAACATTTGACAAGTGGACATTTAACAAGTAAATGGTTGAATTATGGCTTTTCGATTTTCAAATTTGAATTATGGATTTACGGTGTACAATTTATGGGTGTCAGTGTTCAAAAAATATGCCTCCCGACCTCCTAGGCGGCTTTTTTGAAAAAATGCCTAGCATCTTAAGGCGTTTACTACTCGGCGCCAGAACTAGGCCCTCGCCTAGGCGGTTGGGTGGCCGATTAGGCGGTCAAAAAGGTGGTAAAAGGGCCCCCCCTAGGCAGCTTGCAGGGCTACGGCGGAAAACGTTTTTCGGGTGGGGATAAAAAGTCATTTTAAAAAGGGGGGATAAGAGTTTGGGGGGGTCATTCTTGCCCCCAAAAACAAATTTAGTGAACTTAGAGTGAGAAACAAGTTGAAAAAACCTAGATTTGAAGATTTTTTGAGAGATTGATATTGTTTTTTGAAATCCGTGAATGGTCACGATATTAAAGGATATTGAACCCGAATCTTATTTAGGCTTATAGGGGTTGTAAAAGAGGAGATTTGGGATCCCAAACATTTCGGTTTGGCCTGAAAATAACTTCAAGAAGGTTGGTATATTTCAATAGTTTTCATTAGGTTTTGTATTGTTTTCCTTTAATGTCTAATGATGTTATTTTTTGCTCTTTGTATTTTTTCTTTGATACTTTGTGATATATATTACATACAAAACTTACT